TCCGTAGTTAAAAGCTTCCATGTCCGGCTCTGATATCACGTCCTTCGGCGCGGGTTCGTAACCTGAAAGTGAAGATCAATTTTAAGTTTATTAAAACTACAAATCTTAAGAAAATCCTACACGAGGCGTCGCTGCTGAAGCAAAGCGTTCGATGATCGCGCCAAAAAAAATATTAAACGTCAATCGGCGATCGCCATTTTGTTTCAGAGTTGCCACTTCTGTTGGAAGAAAGGGTTGTCGCCTACCTGTATCGGTTGGTTCCGGTTTGACAAGCCCCAAGCGAAAGCCAAATATAGGATGTTCCACTCCCATTTCTTCCTCTTCGCCCATCGTCTTGGAGCTGTCCATGGAGTTGCCGCATTCGCTGAGGCTACCACTGGCATTATGGCCATCGGCGCCGCCCAGCATGCGGCAGAGGACGCGGTAGACCTCCTCGGGCACCACCTTTGGGACCCCAGTGCCGTAGCGCGTTGTTGTGTTGTAGGTGGACTTGAGGAACTTCCACTTGGTCCAGATCTGAATGCTCGACTTCTTCACGTAGCCCTTGCTGCGCATTATCATCTCGACCTGCCGGAACACGTGCTCGCTCTTCGTGTTACGATCGTGCAGCCGCTCCAGAGCATTGATGTTTTGCATGATGCTCAGCATTTCCAGCATCTCGGGCCGGCTCCACAGGTTGCGCTCCGGCCGCGATGTTGTGTGAACAACAACATCGCTCTTGACCCCGCCCGACGGCACGTCTGCGGGTGGCGGAGAATGGTGCTCCGTAATGCGCATGGGCATGAGTAGGCCGTCCACATCGCCCACAACTCCGTTGCCCGTTGCGGCCGTGCTGATGAGGCTGTTGATGTTCTGGTTTTGGTTCTGGTTCTGGCTGTGACCTTGGCTCTGACGCATGTTGTGCTCCACTTTGCTCAGCAGACGCATCTTCGTGTGGGCGGCCACCGTGGTGTGGGCGCCCACCGTGGTGGATGGGCTCCCGCTGCTTGAGGACGAGCTGGATGCATTTTTGCCCGTCGACGAAGAGCTGTCGTTCAGGCCCATATATCTTGGCATTAACATTGTTCTAGTATGAGTGATATTAAATCACTCCGTAAAATCTATAAAGATAACCATATTTCGATTAGCTTCAAAAATCTAGAAAATCTTGAAAATATTGGAAACTTATGATATTTGGAAAATATTGTATACGCATGTCTGTAAGTATATTTGAAGTATTTCAATTCTACTTTGGAAATCCACCACCTTTGGGCGCAACTTCCATAGAAACGTTAGTATGTTTGAGTTGGAGCGTACAAGACCATGAAATGTGGATGATGCTGACGTGTTTCCGACTGTTTAACACATTCCAAAACCCTTCAACACACCCTCATGCCCCCAATCGTGCACACACATACCAGTGGGAAACTGAAGAAAAAAGCTTACGAATCTAGAACTGAGGAAATATATATTTTTATCGATTTTGATTACGAATTTGAAAACGAATAATGACCCGAAAAAACGACCATGCAACCGACACAGTCGCACCACACAGATACCAAATAACAATCAAGAAGTCGCTCAATAATAGAACTGAACTGAACTCTTTCTTGAGATAGTGTTTTGTAAATATGATACGATTAATGAATAAGTAATATATGTATGTACATTCAAAAGAAATTAAGTGTAAGCGCACACAGCTGCTTCTTTTTTTGCCGATGCGTAATCGCAATCGCACAAAATTCAAAGAAATGGCGCACAAGAAATACGAAATTATGAGAACCAGCACAAAAGAATATCCCAAATTATGTACAAGAAGAAGAGCTTATTCCTGTCGGTGCCAGCGAGGGGGAAGAAGGGATAATGGCAGGGGCAATATTCGAAAAAATCCCAAAAGTTTTTGCGTCATTTTCCAGCTTTTGGCATTTCTTGCGAATATAACGCGCGGCTTGAGATTGATTTGCAAATGGTACAGTGGTCACGGGGTCATGGAAAACAAAACGGGTTGTCAGACCTATTGGACTGTGGGTCCTGTTGGGCACATCTGGTTTGAAACCACGACTGTATTGGATTTATTCGATGCGGGGCAGCATTCACTCACAACTTATACTGGACCCAGAGCGGGTATGTAATATCCAATTAAAATTAAATTGTTTGTGTCCACTGTAATAAGCAGAGATACAACGGAACGAAACGCATGGTGCAATAATATAGGGTGGAGTATTCCTCTCAATGTCATATTTATTTTCTATTTCCTCCTGCAGAGAGACACTTGCAGAGCACGGGAGCGGGCACGGCACAGGTAGATATGTCACTCTTCGTCACCTTGCATCGACATACCTTGAACCAGCGCAGAAACGAGAACAAGCTGCGCTCACGAACACGAAAACACACACACACACACACGAAGACACGGTCGCGAGCGAGCACAAATTTACGCTTATTATGTGTGTGCTGAGAAGTTTTTCAAGAAAAAGAACAACTGAATTAAATTTCCCAATTACATCCATATTGAAATTGAATAAAAGCCAATTGACAACTGACATGGCGGCCCCTTTAGTGTGCTCCAGAGCCTTTGCTTACCTCTAAAACTGACTTTCGTGATTTTTAATAGTTTTAAAACAATTTTCAAGATTCAACTATTATTCAGCAAATGACTAGCCAGGCACACACACACTTGCACTTACTTACCAGCGAGAGAGAGAGAGAGAAAGAGCGCCACAAACACACTCACAAAAAGGAAGAGCAACCAACGGCGGAATCGAAGCAACCACCGTCGCTAACGACGATTTCAATACTGATACTGAATTTCAAAACTCGAAAGCGACGAACGGGCCTACAAAATCCAAACTATATATATATATATATGTATGTACGTATATATACCTGCTGCGTCTGTGTGTGTGCAGATGTGAATATTATGTGCGCTTCGGTTCGGTGTTATATTTTCAGAAAGGCACAAATAAATGGTTATGGTGGCTAGTTGTTTTTGAGATTGTTGAGAGATTGCGGTGAGAGACAGTCTGTTGTTATATTATTCGTGGCTGTCGGCATTTTTTATTTTCGTTCGTATTATGTATTATATTTTTCTCTTGTTTCAAGAACGGGGTTATTCGAAAAAAAAAATAATAAATACAGATATGCAAATTGACAGATACACACATGTACCGAATGGAATGTTTTATGGTGTGATGATTCGGAATTTCGCAAACTTTTGTTGATATGAAAAAAGCCAGTAAATTCCATGCATCAAACACTATCGATTTTCGTTTACATATTCTTTCAATTTATTTTAATGATGACATAATATGAGGGATGATACATTTTTGGGCAGGAAAGATAAAACTGAAAAAACCTAAGCTTTCCTATTGTTTCTGTTTTTTCTTTTATTAAATAAAATTTACATGATTCAAATCTTCATCTTATCTACTTTCGTATCTTTACTGAAGTTATTACTGAAGTATTGAAAGGCATACAGTGGAGTCTTTCCCATGTGTATTTTCCTGAATTTGAAAGAAGTTTTTCAACAGCAAAAAACAAGGTTTCTGTCACAGATTCCTGGGAGATCAGGTTTCAAGAACCATCCACCCCACTAAATCTACAGGTGAGGGGGCAATCTTTTGTGGGTTCCACTGTTTGTCTCGATGGCAAATCTTTTTTGGGCTGTGAATTCTTGTTCGGATTTATCAACGGTCCGCATTCTGCTGAGGAGCTTCCTTGGATTGTAGTTTTAGGGTTGCTTATACTGTGTATGGTTATGTATGGGAATGGGTATCTCATCTCATTGCCTGAAGTCTGAAGTCGAAACTAGATTTACAAGTATTGCGGACTATGTAGAGAGTAGAGTGCAGAGCGGCAGAGGAGCCACAGCCACAGTCACAGTCAGAACAGGAAACTTGAACTCCACTCCATAGACAGAGAGCCGAGCCGAGCTGAGCCGGGCAGAGGCGACATGGCTGGGAAAATGCGGAAAACCTTTCTCATATTTTGCATGAATTACGCATCACAGAGAGTCGATTTACATATCTGCTGTACGAGTTCGAATATAATGTATAATGTCGCTGAATGAAAATTCTGGCATGTGAAAGAGCATGAACGGACTGTGTGCGGGCAGGGCAGAGCGGGGCAGGCATTTGTAGTACATTATGTAGAACACGCCCGCACACAGATGTCTGTCACTGCAGACTTATTACTGCCTGCGACTATATAATATTGAGCTTCGAATAAATAGTTTTGTTGATAAAAAACCGTCACACACATACGGGGGAGGGGGTGGGGGTGGGAGAGAGGGCCACCCTCTCCATGCTCGGGAGGCGGCCCGAGAGACGAAGCTCGATTCGACTCTCGAGAGCGGCTGGAAAAATATCTACGTAAAACGAAAAAAAATCAAATGAAAAACACACTCACGACGACCATAAAAACCGAAGATGATTCATTCGTCAGATTCGGGCACTTTGCTGGCTCTGTTTTTCTTCGGTTTCTTTTCGTTTTTTGTTTGTTTTGGCCTTATTTTTGTACTCGAACTGTCGGGCTAGAATCGCGGATTCCAACTGAGAGTTGAGCCCAAAACCAACGGAGGAAGTGGCAGGAAAACCAGAATCTGATTTCGCGATGCCATACCCGCTTGGGGCTCGGTTCGGGAAGCTTAGCCACGAAATCGACTTTCGACTTATTCTGAATTCTCTCGTCAGTACATATCGGGCAGGGCCAAACACTAGCGGTTATGAGGGACGGGGAATCTATGTACATACATATCTCTACAGGTGCGCACTGCGGGCTCTGATTACCGCCAGTGTTCTATTTTAAATTAGAGTTTCTGAAGGTGGATAATGTAATCAAATCCATTAATTTCTGTCTAAGTAAAACCCAACTAAGATTAGGGGGAAAATGGAAAGAACTGGCATCTGTCATTTTGAGACTGAAAGGGGAATGCCCTTTTTAATTTGTACCAATCAATACATGTATGTACTCGGAGTTTTGACACTTTCTTTCGTAATTTAAGCGAAACCAACTCTATTTAATTATTAAAAACCTTACTATAATGATTGCCACACAAAACGTTTAGTGGAAAATCAAACTCAATTGTTCAATAACTCAATCCAAAGGTATGGGAATGTATGCATTGACATTATCCGTCTGACGCTGCGAAATGCACTCACATATCCAGATGATGTTGCGGCTCTCCAGCTGCTTCAGCTTCACGTAGGAGTAGAATATGCCGTAGTGGAACTGCTGCAGATACGATTGCACGTTGTTCTTGGCCTCCACCATTAGGAATCGGTCCTCGAGCCCGATCAGTCCGTCCGTGTCCCGTTCGATGTTATCGAACATGTCGCCGTATCCCGCAAAGTTGCAAACATCGCGCACCCGGTCGTAGTCGCTGACCTCCGAGAGGGTCCGCAGCGCGAGATCGGGCAGATTTCCGCAGGTTGGGTACATCTTCAGACGATCTTCGGCTGTCAGGTGAGTGGGCAGGGCGTTTACGGTGATGGTTATGACCCGGCGGTCCGCCTCGAAGCCCAACAGCTTGCACATCACGTTCGACGTGGTCCCGCCCAGGCCTTCGCAGAAGGCGTAAAAGCTCTCCAGATAGGACCGGTAGAGCACGCCCCGGACAATCTCGACATCAATTTCGATAAAGGTTTCCTCGTGGAAGTTTGGCGGAATAAATTTGGCCAGCGGCGTGTCGATGAGCACGGCATTGAAAAGTTCCACCGAGCTGATGGCCACCTCAATGGCCGCCAATTGATCAAAGTAGCCCAATGGATGGCACATCTCGAGCAGTCTTTTCATGGGACGGTTGTTGTTCAGGCCGGCGATCAGCAGTGCCACGTTGTCGATCATGTATGGATAGCGGATGTACTCGAGAAACGAGCTCAATGGATCCGTGGAGTGGGCCCGGATGTAGTTGAACTCATTAAGAAGCTTCTCCCCCAGCCGCTTTTCGATCAGCTCCACACTGAACTTGCGGTCGTTGGAAAAGATGTTGCCGTAGTCGGTGCTCTGGATGTTCATCATTACGTCTTCGAGGGACTCGCATTGCGTGAGGGCGAGGTAGTCCGAGTGTTTCAGCATGCCGTTCTTAAAGCCCCGCGTAATGCCTTCCAAGTAGCCCCATTCGGTGTTGAAGAGCAACGACATTTTTACCTCTGCTTTTTTTATACTTTTTTTTCAACAGATATTCCTCTGTTATGTATTGTTTTTGTTTGTTATAAATATTGAGTTTCACTCCAGAGCTGTGTAATCTACTGATCCTGAGATTTGAATAGGATCTGAGAGAGATATATCCCAAAAACTACTTCGACTTGCTTTCTATGCTTTCAAATACATGTCCAAATACACGAAATTAAATATTTACGACTTTAATGTATATATTATATTTCGATTAAAACACGACCTTTAAAGGTGAAATGTTTTCCATTTGTTCTATTGGCCCAGGGCTGAGGGCGACGCGCCATCTATCGGAGTTCCAGGGAGGCCTGATGGTGTATGGTGATATCGGGGGGAGCTGGGATCCGTTACTGGGAATATATGGAATAGGATAGGATTAGCGATCTATTGGTGAGGGTGAAAAGAGATAATTAAACGTAAAAATGACCAGAAAACGTGTATTGAGTACTCTTTGATTTGTAAGTTATATGTGGAAAAGTAAACCTCCATGTTTTCGGAGAATGTCCCGCATGAGTAAGTGTATCCCCGTCATCGTCTCAGGACAACTATGTATTTATTTATAATTAAAATAGTGGAAGGTCGCGTGGCGTAATGGATTAGGCCAGCCGCAGCCGTTCTAGCAGAGGGTGGCCGAAATGACCGTTGTGTTTGGTCGCAGGTAGGGCGGGCGTGCGAATTGGAAACACCTAAACTTCTACCATTTGACAGCCGTCTTTTTGTTAGTTTCTCTTTGTTGGAGCTATTTTAGGTTTTTTGTTATTCTAATGTCCCGAGAAGTCGTGTATCTCTATATTTGTTTACATTTGGCGGGCAAGTGGAACTATCCAGCCCTGGGATCGACAGCTAGCCGGCGTTGCCCACAGCTCTCATTGGCAAAGTACCTTCTTCCAACGGTGTGGCAACTCTGTGGGACATGGGAAATATGAATTTAAATTGAAACGGAAATTCAAATTGTGTATTTCGGTATTTGCAGTTGGGAAATCGGCTTAAATGTCAATTCACAGCAATTTAGTGTCAGATACACTACTACGATACGAGTACGGGATTGCTTTCATCACTGGAGTCATCTGGGTGTTCTCCACGGATTTGGTCGAGATTAAGTAAATAGGACGGAATGGCTTGAAGATGTTCAGATGTACATATTATGACTTCCGCACCTCTTCTGTTCCTATGGAGCATATGTGTGATTTCCCTTCAACTTTTTTCGAACGATATGACATGCTTAGATTCTTAAAAACTGTGCTTTTGAATTAAACTTAGATGGATATTGCCAATTATTGTTTATATTAATATATGTTTATATATGTATCATTATTATTTAATAATAATAACACATGGACATGTACATATATTTATAAATATGATGTAAAATAGATATCAGCACAGTATGGTGACCACAAAGCAGCTGAAATTTTCCCTCAACCTTTTTCGAACGATATGGCAGCCCTGTCGGAGTCTGTTAAGTTTGAATTTGAATTTAGGTAGAGCGTGTGATTTGAAGCGCTTCAAAATGATGGTTGCAAGCCCCTTCAAATTTAAAGCTATAACGGTACCTATTCTAGATCGTATGGATAGACAGAAATGCGCTCACATCGCTTACCATTCATTAGTTTTATCTCTCTTTGAATTGCACATGCGCCTGGAGAGATGCTGGACGAGACCAGATGACGCGACCTGTTGCTCTTGGCCCGCTGCTTACTTGCACTTTGTTTACTCAGTCAGCCCGTTGCTTTCGTGCAAACAGCATTACAAGTATTGCCACAAATCTGCAGCAGTATAATCGTATTTCTTCCTTCCTCCATCGCGAATGGTATTCAATTTGAAATTCTCTCTTTAGTTTCGTTTTAGTTCTGAAATTTCGTCGCGTTTCATTTGTGTCGCCGCGTGTGCATCGCATAAATGCTGTAATAAAATGTTAATCAAATAATAATTGCCACTAACGTGTGTAATTGCCCATCACAGAGGCGTCACTGTGCACAAAGGCAAAGCATTAGCGAAAACTAAAGCAAATTCCATTGGGCACACCATGAGGGGTAGATCAGCCTGATCTAATCTGCTGCCTTTCCTAGTGTTCTATTTGGAAACTATAAAGATATAGACAGCACGAATGGTGAGGAATATATAGAAATATTGTGAATCATTTAAAATACTTCTAAAAGTGTTCTCACTTTCGAAATAACTTTAATTTATTTTGAAATCCAAGCCAACAGCAGGGTAAAATCGTATTAATTCTGTTCTCGAAAGTTCTGGGTCAAATATTCTCAAATATGGTGCGGGGTTCCCTTGTCACATTCCCAATTGATTTCCAGGTCAATGGCGAAGGGGAGGCATTTCTCATGGCAACAAAACAGAACAGACTTTGGCCAGCTGCAAACCCATGACTGCCACCTGTTGGCGTGGCAGTGGCAGGCAAAGGCACGGGCAGAGCGACCGTTAAACAACTGGACAAAGTCACGGGCCCCCGACAGGCGTCACCCGCTATGGGCAATAAATAATTGAGAGGCGAAAGAATTTAATTCTGGCACTTGTCATGTCAGGGGCTCGTCACTTTGATAAACTTTGCATGCGGAAAGTCTTAGTCTTTCTTTTGTTCCACATTAAAGTCCCTGAACAGACTGTTGTGGTGTCATGTGCCCGTCAAGGAGTAGTCCGAATATCAGTGGTTGGACGCGACATGTGACAACTGAAATGACTTTGCACCAGAGAACACTTTTGAAATGTCTTTGCACCGGGGAACACTTATGCATTTCCACAAATCACAAATCATTGTGTGGGAAGTGTTTATGGCATTTTGCGAAAACATTTCCACGGTTTCGGAGGGGATCTTTATGAAAGCAGGAAATGCTAAGAACTATTTATAAATACTTTGTACGGAAAGACTTTCGGGAAAAATTATGACCAGTTGAGGAAATTGTAGAATGTACTTTAATTGGAGAGCTCTGAGGCATCATGTAGTAATAAATTTGAAGATCATTAGAGGAATAGGGGATAGGATGTTCCATCAAATTTTCTTGGCATTGGCACTGTTCCCCGAAGTGGTGGTATAGTACACCCTATAGATGAACAGCCCAACTGCTAGGTGGACGGCAATGACGGCCCCAATAGCCGATATGATATCGGCATCCATGTTGCCGATGAGAAAGAGATTCTTCAGGACCACAAACTTCAGAGCGAAGAACGTGACAACAGGGAAGCCGATGATCAACGAGCAGTAGAACATCAGCAGGAGAACAACGAGAACGGGATGCTGCTTCTGGGCCTGCTGGGGCAGGATGTTCTCCCACTCGGACAGCGTTTCGATCTGCTCCATGCGCGAGAACTCCTGCTGGAAGATCAGGCGGAACATGTAGACGGCGATCAGGATATGCATCACGATCACAGTGGCCACACCCGAGCCGATGTCCGCATTCAGGTGGCTGGTGCCCAGGAGCACGTACTTGAAGCCGCAGAAGATCAGAAGGGGACAGAGCAGGAACACGACCACGAAGTAGACCAGGTGCTGCAATTCATTCAGCAGGACTTCCGCCTGGGATTTCTGGGGGGAAATCGATTCAGGTTCAGGTTCGAGTGGGTAATTATTGCAAGTGGTAACCTCTAAGGACGTTGCCATTTCCAGTCTGGGAAGATCCTGAGGGGAGCCCGACCCAGCCCTGCGTAGCCTGGCAAGCATTTTGAATCAGTAAATCCTGTTTAAACATTGACATGTGCCTTAAGGCCAACTCTGGTGGGACCGACATCCCCTTGGCCATAAACGCCATAACGTGGGCCCAATTAAGGAATTAGCTTTGAAGTGACAAAACATCCAAATTTGTCCCGCACATTAAGAGATTGGCACGCCTCGAGGCAGAAATATCTGGTCCCATGACCACGCGACATAACTAAGTATAAGCACTAGTAGTATGGCATGAATGTGATAATAAACCCCCGTTTCGGGCTGAGATTAGATAGCTCTCCGAAGAGTTAATTAGCCAGACACTGGAGTTCGGAAGAACAGAATGCCATCGGAATCGGACTATATGTCCGATAAAGTTCTCAAACTCAAATCAACGTCGTGATTTTTATGGGCTCACTCGAGTCAAATTCTCAGCCTGGAATTTATAGCCAAAAGATTATTATACTCGTGTGTATTTGGGGCCTAGCTCCTGGTCTGGTCAGCTGACTCTTTTGGGGTATGGTTGGTGTTTCCCCAGGCAAAATTATGAGTAAACTTCTTCACACTAAACGATCCATAAATTCTGATTGCTTCTTTCGTTGTCTGGAAATTCATTTGTGACATTTTCGCGTTTGATTTCAACTTGCCATAAATTAGATGATGATGAGGCATTCTGGGGAGGGTACAAAATTTGTGGTTCAATGATCTGTTATTGAATGATAAGGGCACGGGATGAATCTTTGCATCTTTATGATCGGATTTATAGGCTTTTTAAATAAATATAGAAAGTGTAATTGCTTTAACAAAGATACACGAAGATGAAAGATGGCTAAAGACAACAAATTTGTCTACAAACTGTCTATCAAGATCCTATTTGAATAATCCGGAACGATATTTGACATAAGAAGAGCGAAACTTTGACCATAGGCTAGCATATATACTCCTATATCTGCTATTCAATTGACGTTAATATCAGTTAATGTTCGTTATCTCGAATTGCCCGGCATTACTCATACGCCGTGTGGGCCAACTGATTTTGTTCGCCCCCAGAGCTCTGCTGAGGCTTGGCGCCAGTCGCAGAGGCGCAGAGCAGACTAAAAATAAATCGTTTATCTAATAGAGTGCAAAGTATGGGCTTGGTCTCTGGTATATCCCATTTATCCACAACAATTTTGGGGAATTTGTATCAATCGAAATCGTCTGAATTTCTATAAATATTCTGGCAGTGATGATAAAGAGTTAAGAATAATTTGAATGTGGGTATTTTTATGGTTATTCGATTGGTTCTGTTGCCAGGTTGGGTTCAAGAACAGAAGGCGCTCTTCTTTTAGCCATGGTTTCTGGTCTGCTGAAGAGCTGGCCATCGGCCAAACGCGCAACAGCTGCGACCACAGCGGAACAGGCGCGAAAACAATGAGAATTATGCCAAGTTCACACATGAATTGGGTCAAAATCGGACACCTGAGAAGAAAGGGTATTGCTCACTGCTCATTAGATGATGATGCTCGCAGCAGATGCTCAGAGAGACCCATGCAAATTTAATGACAACTAATGGCACAACTATTTGAAATTCAACTCCTGTCGGGTCTCCACTCCGCTCCACTGCACTCCTTCCGGGACGGCATCGGAAAATACTTGCCCTTGAACCAGAGCATGCATCGAGTTATTTATTCAGGCATCTGTGTTGGCTTCTACTTATATGACTGCAATTATGGTAATTGCCTTGTCTGGTCTGGGCTGGTCCCGGTCCCGAGGCACTTCCTGGGCAGCTCGGCACTTCGTTTGCGTCCATTTGTTTGCTCTGTTCTCAACCCAAACCACATTCGACTCCCCCTAGCCTGGCCTTGGCTTCAGCAGAGTCCTCTCTCCTCCCTCCTTAGCCTTGACAAACCCATTGACCGTCAATTGAAAGTTGACCAAGCTTTTTTATTGGTTTCCTTCGAGTGTGCCTGCTCCTTGGAATGCCTGCAGTGGAAAATTCCAGCCATAGCTACCCCCCAGTGTCTGCCGGTTGACACTTGACCAGGTCGGGACACATGTTGGCCATTGTTCAGCCTTTAAACCGCTTTGCTGGCTGCTTCAAGCATTAACAGGAAGCGAGCTGGGACAATGGCCAAGGGCCCCTTTGTTGTCAGCCCAATTAAAAGTTGCTTTCCTTCTTGAGCTTTCAGAGATGAAAAACACGTTCGCCAAAGGACCAAGACTGTTGCAGGGCAAGAGCCAGGGGACAAGCACTGCCGTGGACCCATAGCCAAAGGACACAAAACACTTAAATGCTAAACCAACTGTTGATACAATAATTCCGTTGCTTGAAGTCCATTATCCATCGTCTCCCCGATTTGCATACAACACAAAACAAGCTTGAAACAGCTTGAAATCGGGATTTGTTTCTTCCCTCACCTCCCCACCCCCCACAGAGGAGGGGCCCATCCATCAAGGAGACGGCAGCAAGGCCCGGTCATAGACACTGGACAAGTTTAACGCACTTTCGAATGGGCTTCTGTGTATCCTTCTGCCTATCCTTTTGTGTATCCCTCTGAATATCCCTCTGTGTATCCCGCAGTGTATCCTTTTATCGCTGAATGCTTGGGGCAGGTCGGTTACATCAATTTTCGGGCACACTCAACATAAATTTACTGGCCATGTGGGAGCGCTCAACTTTGAACTGAAACTCAACCGAAAACCCAAAACAGTTGTAAACTATTTGCTGACCTGACCTCAAGGCTTGAACCTTAGATAACCTCCACATCTCCAGAAGTCGTCACACAAATGATTTTTCGGTGACATGTGATGGATGCTGGATGCTTGAAATTGTTCTCCCTCCGGGGTCAATGTGGGGGCCGTCGTTAAACAACAGGACGGGATAGTAATGAACGCATTAATGAGACCCGAAATAGCAGGACGAAACTGCTGCGGGTCGGGACTTCCAGAGGAGATGAAATGGGAAATTAATTAGATATAATGTGGCAGACAGATGGATGTTCCACCAAAATATACTGCCTCTTGGAAGAACATCCAAATAGTTAAGCAAACAGAGTCTCGAGAGTCTAGTGTCTAGAGTCTAGAGTCCAGACCTAATCAAACATATTTAGTTTAGTTTGCCTCCCAATCAGTGCCTAAACATGCTGGGAGTCAGGTACAATAGATCTCAGCGAAAGCAAAGATAACTACAAGTCAGCTGTCGCATATTTTTGCCTGCATTTGCCACAAATATTTGTGCAAAAATCCACCAAGAGTCGCTTTGAGTAGAGTCAACAATGGTCATGCGACCAGGTACAGATACAGATACAGATACAGATACAGATACATACAGATATATGTAGATAGGGGTCTGATAGCAAAAGACCCCGGGGACAGGCACGAGTCTGAATTTATGGGAAGCTTTGTTGTCCAGCCTGACAGGGGAGCCATTTTCCCATCCCATCATCGCAGCTACTATCTCCCGTAACTCAAACATGGTCCATGTCATCATTATTTGGACATTTCCTAAGATTTCTTTAGTAATATTGTTCTTCTGCAAAGAGAACTTAACTCATTCCCTGGAAAGGAATCCATAATTCCATTTATCTTGAACAGCCAGCCTGATTATAGCCACACTGCGGAATCTTACACTTCAAATAGTCTCTGGATTAAGGGGATTCGGTGTGGCCCATTCAAATCTAATTAGGACTTCAAAAGAATTGATTAAACCTCCATTATCGTTGGCTATTGAAACAATATCAGCATTTGAAACGTATCAGCAGGAAAGGCTTACAATTTTAGTATCAATTGGGGTAAGCCCAATGGGAACCAGACAAAGAGCGTATGAGGGTACTCGTAGATTAAGTATTGTGGAACTCTGAAGGAGGAAAGTTCTACAAGTTTGCTGAAATTGTAAGAGCTTTCTCTTCATAGTTCTCCTAGGTCTTCAGTGCCCCTAGAGCACCACTGTCTTGTGTACTTCTTGGGATTTGTAACCTAGGTTTGAAGAGCTTCAGTCAGGGAATGATTGAACATTTTGTATTGTTAGAACACTTATGAAGAAGTTCTTCTAATTTATCTGAATCTCTGAAGAGTACTTGCAATGATAATTAACCTTGACATTAAGGGAACTCTGGTGATGAGTCTTCATTGTACTCCTGTCAGCAGAGTGCCGCTCTAATTGTTTGTATACCATAAGACAAGTGATTCACTTTTATGGACTAAAATTAGCTTTGTCCACTCAGAAGTGCTGACGTCTGTTTGGCCAAGAAATGGTTTGCTTTAAGGATGAGGATGCCATTTACATTATCCATCCGAGGTAAGCCTTGATTTCTACTCTGACTTGCTTCAACGGCACGTACTAATAGCAGAAGGATTCTCTTGGGGATTGTGGATTGGGAGCAGAGGAGACCTTGGTCAGCGCTGGACAAGATGGCATGCAAATGGAGGTGTTTTGGTTTGGCCCACTTTGAGGCATGCAATGCCGTCTCGGAGACGGAGTTCAATGGCCCACCGCAGTCGTGGAAGGTCGTAGAAGGACGTCAGCAGGGAGCCAACTGCAAGGACTCCTCTAGACTGCTCCTGAGCGCCCCTCACTGCTGCATTGCGATGCAGAGCACGCGAAGGCGACGAAGTCGAAGACGATGACATTGACGTGCGTTGGCGCAGTGCTGCCTGCCGCCTGCCGCCTGCCGCCTCCTTGTGGCTTCCACGGTTTCTAATGAACCTACCCACATCTCCACCTGCTGCCTGATCCACTCTAGGTGCCAGTATTATTTATTGGCCAGCGGTGTCGACGGCTATCGCGCCCATTTATTTCCACATGCACCACATGCACCGGCCAAGGCCTGCATTCATCCATCCCATCCCTCCACCGGGGGGCTAAAAATAGTTGCAAGCCTTCCACCTTCCCGCAAGTAGGTCGCCGAAAGTATGCAACACTCTTTGTGCTTCTTATTAAAAACGGAAATGCTACAACAATACGAAATTCTATAAATCTCTTCAGTGGAAACACACGCCCATGA